CCAATCTATAATGACCTCTTCTGACTCACAAACACATGAAAACACCAAACGCAGGACAATCACAGGCCAGTGAGTAGAAAATCTTTGGCTCCAACTGTGTTGTAAGCATCTCAGTGCTGGCAAGGGTTTCCATGTGGCTTCTCCAGCACCCAGGGCTGCATCTGGGAAGGTCCATGTGGCTTCTCCACAGGGACGTCTTGCAGGAAGTGAGCCTTGCCAGCTGAAGCAAGGGAGCTGCACCCTGGTCCAACCATCACAAAGCAAAAGACCCGAGAACTAGAAAGGCATGGCTCACTGAGCCATTTATCCCTCTGCCCTTCAATTAACACCACATGTTTTTATTGGCCAGGTTGGCACAATAAGCTAACTACTTTACTTGCCCACCATGGATGACCCTACTGGTATTTGAGATCCCAGTGTCATAGCTTCTAGAATCATAGCAACACACCTGCCACTGCCGTGTGGCCAACAGGAAGTCAGAGGGGGCGCTCTTGTGATAGCAAGGATGGGTTTGCTCTCTAAGAAAGCATAATCTGAATAGGGTAGGGGAAGGAGAGATTCTGGAGTGTAAGGGAACAAGGGAGCAGGTGGGAGAGAGGCAGTCGAGGAAGGACCTGGCATTTGTCAGGAAGCAGAGGGGAGCATGACTCGACTGGAGGGTTCAGGGAGCAAATTAGCAAGAAGTAGGGTAGACAGCCTCCTTCCATAGAGAGTCCTCCCCTTCAGCCCGCTAGAAACCTCCTCTTCCCTTCTTTCCAGGGATGAGCTGAGAAGCCTGTTCCAGGCTCGGGCCAAGCTGCCCCCTGTCTGCAGGGCCGTGGCAGGCATGGAGGGGACCTCCCAGCAGGCCTTGCAGCGGTGCTGCTCCGTGAGGAGAATCTTCGCCAGCAGCCTGGCTGCAGTGAGGAGAAGGGCCGCGTGTGCCCAGGTCAAACTGCAGATGGTGAGTGGGGCCCGTCCCCCCCAGTGAGGGACCTTCTCTGCTGTCCTGGGGGTGGGGCGGCCATGACCCCAAGTTCCACAGAAGAGCACTTGGAGGCTTGGAGGAGCGAAGACGTGACCAAGGTCACGCAGCTGAGAAGGGACTCAGGGCAAGCCACGGCCTGAGGAGACGTTACAAGGACCTCGCTAAGGAAGGCCATCCTACTTGCCTTGTTCTCCAGAGGGGCGTCTCAGAAGAGGGTGGCGGAGCCAGCCGGGCTGTGAATATACTGCCCGATTGGGGACACACGGCTCCCACCACCCATGAGATACTTCAGTCCGTCGGAGAGCACGCTCAGCTCTGAGGGTTAGACATAGCAGAGTTAATTTTGGGGGGCATCAATCAACCCCCTCAAGCATCTTACCTTGGAAAAGACCTCATCTCAGGTCTGGTGCTAATCCCAGCCCTTCAGCTGAGGGTCCTGGGTCCACCACATAGATTCTGTAGGTCTCAGTTTCCCCATCTGTGCCTGGAAGAAAAATGTACTCGAGCTCATTACTCAGGATTCAAGCGTAGGTTCTGTTTCTGCAGCTCTGCCTGGATTGTTCCAGTGTCCCGCCCCACCCCCTCCACTTGGGGAAGCACCCCCTTAGATCCTAGGTGGGGAGACCTTGATGGAGGATGCAGGACCATGATGCCAAGGCCAGGCTGAAGGGAGGATCAAGGCCATCTGTCCTGCTAAGACAGCTGGCCCTGACCTGTCTGCTCTTGCCCTAGGACGCACTGTTGAATGTGATCAGACGGTCCCAGTTACACTTCATCCACTGCCTAATGCCCCACCCCATGGTGGAGAAGAGGGCCAGGCTGGAGTCTCTGCCTTCACCCCAGGCTGGGGGAGACAAGACAGGTGTGCCCCTGGCCGCGGACATCCCAGCACTGCGGACCCAGCTGGCGGGCTTCCACATCCTAGAGGCACTGCGTCTGCACAGGGCAGGTAAGACGTGGGGGGAACAGAGCTCCAACCATCTTCCCAGTAGCCCTGCCAGAGAGATGCTGTAATGACCCCCATTTTACAGAGAGACAAAGAGGTGAAAGGGCTTCCTCAAGGTCCCACAGCTGGGGCAAGGCAGAGCCATGATTTGAACCCAGCTCCCTTTGGGTCCAAAGCGTCTGTTATGTCCCCAGATCACTTGTCCAGGAAGGTCAATTGGAAGGCCAGGGCTGCACCCTCCTCATCTTTTCTCCATGCAAGTGAGAAACCCTGGTGGCAGAGTGATTACAAGTTGGGGTGCTAGCTGTGAGGTCAGCCATTTGAGAGCACCAGCCCTCTGAGAGTGAAAGACGGAGCTTTCTGCTCCTCTACAGAATCGCAGTCTCAGAAACCCCCAGTGACAATTTTACCCTGCTCTATAGGGTCCCCCTGAGCTGAAATCCACTCGATACCGCTGAGTTTAGGGTAGTTTTTCCATGCAACTGTCTGGGCGCCTTCTATGCCCTTGGTCACTGGAGTCAGTTCTGGCTCATGATGATCCCATAAGTGACAGAGCAGAGCTACTTCATAAGCTCTTCTTAGCTGGCATCTTTTATGGAAAGTAGACCCCAGGCAGTGCCTCTGCAGTGCCACTGGGTGAGTTTGAATGCCCATCCTTCAAGCGAATAGTTGAGTGCAAACCATTTTTTCCCCACCCAAGGATGGAAGGTAGCACTTCCAATACGGGTACCATTTTGGTCTACAAAATGCTTACAGAGTGCTGTGGGAGGACCAAGTGGATACTGGTCCTCCAGATGATGCTGATATGATGTGCCATGTGCATACCTCACCCAGGGAGGCCGGGGATAGCAGATAGTTAGAGTGGGGGCCTCCTTACTCAGTGGAGGAATTGTGGGGATCCTAGAGAAGGTGACATCTTAATTGGTTCTGGAAACATCAGGAGAAGCTCATTTGGGGAGAAGGAGTGACGGTAGGCAGAGGGATCAGTGAGTTCAAAGGGAAGAAACAGATGTGAGAAGCGAGGTGTTTTCAGGGCATGAAGTTCGTTCAAAGTGAGTCACAAGTCATGGGCAATGAGGCTGGGGATTCCAGGAAGGGCCGTGAACGCTGCTTCTGGGTTTGACATTCCCATCATTCAGCTCCACCAATTGTCAGCCTAGTGTGCTTCTGTGATGCTGAAAACTATGCCCCCAGTATTTCACATACCAGCAGACTCACCCATGGTGGGCAGGCTTCCAAAGAGCTTCTAGACTAAGCCTAGACTGGGAAGAAGAAAGAGGTTATCCACTTTGTAAAAATGAGCCACTGAAAACTGTATGAGCAACCGCTGTACATTGTCTGATATAGTACCGGAGGATGAGCTCCTCAGGTTGGAAGCCCTCAAAATACGACCGGGGAAGAGCTCCTTCCTCAGAGAATTGCTGACAAGCTTCTGATCTCTCCCATTCATTGAAGAGCATCATCTTTTAGGAGCCCAGGGGTGGTGGCTTTTGGATATTAGGAACTACCTTCTCTGGTGCCCAAGCTTTGGGGACCTTCATTTGCTGATCTGGCACAGCTCAAAATGAGAAGAAATAGTTGCAAGGATGCATTAATGATCAGAACATGAAATGTAAGAAGTATATGTATCTATGAACATTGGAAGTGGTCAGAGATGAGTATTTTAGTGAGTGAGCTGAAATGGACGAACATTGTCCCTTTTGAATCAATCGTATGCTAAGAATACCAAGGCAAACTGGTGAGCATGGTAAAGCAAAGAGGAATGGCATTATCTTTGAGAATATTCCAGGTCTTTCCTGAAGTACAACACTGTCAGTCATAGGATGATCTCCACACATCTATAAGCGTGATCTTGGATATGAGAAAAAGAAGACCAGAGAAGAGTGGATGTATTGTAATAGATGCCTACAACAATAGGCTCAAATGGAACCATTGTGAGGATGGTTCAGGGCTGGGCAGACCTTAACTTTGTTGTCCAGAGGGTCGCTTTGAGTCAGAACTTTGAGTCACCTCACAAGAACAATGCAAGGAAGACCCATTAATAGGACTATTATTCAAATTTATGCTCCAACCACTATTACCCAAGTTGTAGAAATGGAAAAAAGCATTTTGTTTTACCAGCACCTGCAGTCAGAAATTGACCTCACATTCCTTGGATGTGTTGTCAAGAGGAGCCAGTCTCTGGAGAAGGACAGCATGCTTGGTCCTGGTCCTGGTTCATGAAGAAAGTAGAAGCCCCTCGATGAGATGGGTTGACTCAGTGACTCCAACAGTGGACCCAGGTCTCAACGGGACTATTGGGATGGTACAGGACAAGGCAGGGTCTTGTTCTGTCGTGCAGGGAGATTAAATGAAAAACCCCACGGCCCTTGAGCAGATGCAGACCCAGGAGGTCCCTCTGTGTGTCAGAGTGGAACTGTGCTCCACAGGCTGGCATCTCGGAAGCATATGGCCAGGCCTTTCTTCTGCAGTTCCTCTGTGTATATCCGTTGGGATTATCAGCTGAGTGCTTACCTGTTTGTGCCACCAGACCTTCTGTAATTGAAGGAATGGCATCTCCAGGTCTACCTTTTAGAAAGCAAGCAGGGACCTGGGGCTGGCACCAATAGTTCATCTTCACAGTTGAGTTTGATCTTAATCTCCCCCATTCCTTTCTACCACTGAGTCCTTAGGGACTGCCACATCAGTCCCCCTGGCTGTGAGGAAGTGCTGGACACAGCCATTCTCTTCCTGCAGCTGAGCAGGGTGAGGTGTCAGGACCAGGGGAGCATCTCAGGCTATGTCTCTGGGGTGACTGCCCCACCCCACCTGTGGCTGCTGCCTGGGCCTCCTCCCAGCCCATTAACAGTGGGACCCCAGGCAGGAGGCATTTGCCTGGGAACAGCTGAAAGCTGAGATGAATGGGACCCTTTCTCTCTCAAGCACCTCATTGATTTTCTCCTGCCTGGGTAGCCACAGGCAGAGGGAGACAGATAATGGGTGTGTGTGTTGTGGGGGGCAGGAGACTGGCAGATCGATTGTGGTTGGCTGCAGGCTTCCTGGCTCAGGGACCTTTTGAGCTTACTGTGTGCCCACTCAGCTTAGGGCAGCCTCACCACCTGGATGCAACCCCGCCCCTTCTGTTCTCAGCACAGCCCAACTTGGCCCAGGAAGCTTCCCAATTAAGTGAAAGGCTGATCACCCCAGGGTAAACCTTTCCTGACTAGGGCTAGTTCCTTTCTTGTTCATTCAGCTCCAAATCTCTCTCTCTCTTTCTCTCTCTCTCTCTGTCTCTCATTTGTATTGTGAATTAGGTGAAGGTTTACAGAGCAGATCATGGTTTTACCTTCAACAGCTCTTGTACATTCTGATTCAGATCCTCCATTGCCATCCCCTTAATGTACAATCAGGAGCCTTTGTGTCACTGGGCTGCTTACTGTAAGGTCAGCAGTTTGAAACTGCCAGCTGCTCTTAGGGAGAAAGATGAGGCTTTCTATTCCTGTCAAGAGCTTCCGTCTCAGAAACCCACACAGGCAGTTCCCTTCTGTCCTGTGGGGGTGCTTTGGGTCAGCATCAACACAATGGCCGAGAGCTTGACTTTGGTTAATGTTCCATCCCTTCTCCCACGTTCTCCCTCAGTTTCCTGTTTTCATGCCTCTTTCTTTCCTGACCTCTGTACTTGGTCCTGGGGTGAGTGCTGACCTTCGCTTCAATGGTTGATGATTCCAACTGGAGGAATAGTCCAGTTCTAGACCCGAAGGGAAGGGCCATAACCCCATCCAAGTCTCTCTTTCTCTCTCCCACAGACACACTAACGTGCAGTACATACGATTTTAAGCACTCACATATAGTGAATGTATATATGTGTTAAACACATGCACATATAATGAATGTGCATATATATATTTACAATTTTAAATACACACACATACAACTTTAAATACACACACTTATAAGGAGGATTCAAAAAGTTCATGGGAACACTGGGATTAAAAAATAAAGGAATATCTTTATGCCTCTTAAAATCCCCCTTTAAAACAGACAGATGGACAGACAGATAGTTAAGAGGCTATCATACAGAGCCCTGGTGATGACATAGTGCTTAAGTGCTCAATTGCTTACTCGAAGTATTGCCAGTGGAATCCACCCAGTGGCTGGGTGGGTGAAGGACCAAGGATCTACTTCCTTGGGACAACAAGACATTGCTACTATTTGCCGGCCCATGAGCCAGCTCCCAACTCATGGCCCATGTCTGACATTGTGATACCTGGCATTTTCTTTGGCTGACTTTTGGAAGTAGGTCTCCAGGCCTTTCTTACGAGTCTGTCTCAGTCTGAAGCTCTGCTGAAATCCACTCAGCATTACAGCAGTACTGCCCTCTCCCTCTCTTCCACTGACACTGGAAGAGAGGTGGTTGCCATAACTGAGGGGCATTGAATGGGAATTCCTCCAAGAAAAATTCAGCATTCTCTTCCGAATCACTGCCATGCCATCCAATGCAGTACCTCCTAGGTGCCACTGGAGGCACCCTTTGGACAAATTAAAAACTGAACTGAAAAACCAAACTTACTGCCATTGAGTCAGTGCTGACTCATAGAGACCCCCTGCGCGTTTCTGAGACTGTAACTGTTCACAGGAGTAGAATGTCCAGTCTTTCTTCCGTGAAGCTGCTGGTGGTTTCAACCTGCTAACCATGCTGATCACAGCCAACTGGTGACCACTCCACCACCAGGGGTCCCAAATTTAAAAACAAAAAAAACCCGCCGATGAGTTGATTCCAACAAATAGGGACCCTATAGGACAGGGTAGAACTGCCCCTGTGGGTTTCTGAGACTGTAACACTTTATGGGACTGGAAAGCCCCATCTTTCTCCTATGGAGCAGACAGTGGTTTTGAACTGCTGACCTTGTGGTTAGCATCTCAATGGTTAATCCACTCTGCCATTTTGATAAAGGAGCTTCTAGGATCAGGCGGGTCTGGGAAAATGGTGTTGATAGTTGATAGAGATCTTTCTGCGGGAGTCCTTATACTCAAGTGGGGCTGTACCGTGCCAGACTTTCAGGGGGCTCATGTTCTGGGTCGGATTTTCTGGGGGTGGTTATAAGGCTGATGGAATCAGGCCCCTTTGATAGCAATCAGGGACACCAAGCTTTCCAGAAGTAAATCCCCTCTGGACGTTCATAGCAAAGCCAGAGGTTTAGGATGGGGATGCCGTGCCTACAGGGCCAGGGCAGCTCACAGCATCTCCTCGGCAGACTCCTTGTTCTTCCCCTCCCCACTGACCTGCCAGGATACGCCGACCACATGGGCTTCACGAAGTTCCGCCGGCGCTTCCAGGTCCTGGACCCTCCTCTCAGGAAGACGTTCATGTCCAGCTCAGAGGGCCTGGATGAGAAGAAGGTATGTGGAGTTGGGCGAGGGCGGGGGGTGGGGGAGAAGGAGGCAGAAGGCCTGGCTTTGTGGATGTCCACCTGATGATGGGAGGTCCATGGGATCGTCCTAGGGGCAATCTAATTGCTGGATCATGTGGGCAATGCTGAGGTTAGCCCCAGGTTTGACCCAGACTCCCTGTCTTTACCATGTCCCTTAACACTCACTGACGTTGAGTTGCTGCTGACTCGTTGTGACCCTTTCAGACAGACGGGAACGGCCTCTGTGGGCTCTGAGACTGTGACTCTTCACAGGAGTAGAGTGCCTCGTCTTTCTGCCATGGAGCAACAGGTGGTTTGGAACTGCCAACTTATGGTTAGCAGCCCAATGCAGTACCGGCCCACCCCCTCCCCCACCCGAAACCTGTGTAAAGTCTCACAAGAGCTCACTGCCATCGAGTCAATGCCGACTCACAGCCACCCTAAAAGACAGGTGAGAACTGCCTTTGGGGGTTTCTGAGACGGTAACTCTTTGCTGGAGCAGACAGCGTTGTCTTTCTCCCGAGGAGCGGCTGGTGGTTTCAAACAGCCAACCTTGCAGTTAGCAGCCCAACATCTGACCCACTACATCCCCAGGGCTCCCCTCCTCCACTCCCACTCTCCCAGACTCCCCTCCTCCACTCCCACTCTCCCAGACTCTTCAGGACCTGTGGTCATCTTGATACTGGAATCTTGGCTCCAGCGTGTTTGCCTCCACCCCATCGCCTTGCGTGATTTTATTTTACTAAAGCTTTGTTACTGTGATTCAGGTGGAGGTTTATAGTGCTTGATTGTTTGCCAGTCAATGATTCCCACACCTTGGTTTTGTGACACTGCCAGCCACAGTGCAACTGTGTTCTCCCTGCCTCTTCCCTGTGCTTCCCACTGCCCTCTCTCCTGCTTTCCCATCCCTTCCTGCCTTCTGAGCTGTGTCTGATGGGAGAGTGCTGCCCTTCGGATCGCCTGGGCTTCATGGCTTTCAGGCACTTGGTACCTCCTCGCTGGAATACTGTTCACCCCATGGGCTGAAAGCTGGGCCATGGTGGGGTGTTTAGTTCTAGACCGGAAGAGTGCCATAGTTCCTGCCCTCAGACAGTTCTCCATCAGACCTGTGAGACTGCTCTTTGGAATGAGTTTTGAGTTTTGTTCCACATTTTTCTCTCCCTCTCCCTCTCCCCTCCATCTCCTATTGGGAGTCCTTTCAGAGCACTCAGCAGCGGTTGCGGGGCACCATCTAGTTCTGCTCATCAGGGGGTGAACATCATGGAGTTTTGATGGTCCCGTATGCATTTATTGCTATCTGGAATTATTTAGATGCCCTGTGGTTCTAAGGAGCCCTGGTGGCATAGTGGTTACTGGTTGGGCGTTGGTGAACCTCAAGGTCAGCAGTTCAAAACCACCAGCCTCTCTGAGGTAGAAAGACGAGGCTTTCTACTCCCCAAAAGAATTACAGTCTTAGAACCTCACAGGGACAGTTTCTACCCTGCCCATGAGCTGGAGTGAACTTGATGGCAATGAGTTTGGTTTTTTTGAGTTTTATTGGGGTTTTTTGGCTCATAGTGAGTACTCCAATTTTTTTGGAATGAATTTATACAGTGAATCTTCATAGTCATCTGACTTTCTGCTCGGATTTCCTTTATCCAACTCTACTAGAAGTTCCTGGAGGCCAGGCAGCCTGCCTAGGGATGAACCCTCACCATGTGTTTCTATGGCAGATGTCCACAGCATTTCAGTGGCCCTTGGGACAATTCAAAGTCCCATTTCACCCACTTCCAAAATGAGAGCCAGTGGGAAAGCACATTTTCCCACCTAGAAATAAGATGACAGAGGCTCCTGGAGATGAAGCGACTTCCCGGGAGTCACACAGCTAGGTGGTCATGCTGCAGCTGGCCGCTGGTGGAATGAGCACAGACCCAGGCTTACATGGCCCGAATGTGACTCCCAGCTGGAGCAAGTCCTTTCACCACTCAGCCTCAGTTTCCTCACCTGGAACGTGGGGATGGAGCCAATTACTTGCCTTGCTGATAACATTTAATAAAAGCATCGGTGTGCTTGACCCAAAGCCTGGCCGATAGGAAGGCCTCAGTGTATATTTGATACTGTCAGCTACATCCGGAGAACTGGTGACATAGGGAGTTACATGTTCTACTGCTAACCGCAAGATCAGCAGTTTGAAACCACCAGCCACTCCAAGGGAGAGAGACAAAGATTTCTACTGCCCTAAAGAGTTACAGTCTCAGAAATCCCCAGGGGCGGTCCTACCCTGTCCTGTAGGGTCACTGCAAGTCAGCATGGACATCATCTGTATCATCAGCACAAGCACCAGCATCAGCACCTATTAAGGCCAGGGTGAGGGACTCCATCTTCCGAACCCGGTTGAGATGTTACCCCCAGGACCACGTGCCTGAGAAAGCTCCCACCATAATCCTCTCTTTCTGTCTCAGTCACGTGGGGTCTGGAAGAGCAAACAGGAGCACAGATCCTAGATCCCCTCCTTGCTGCCTTCTGCAGCAGTGTCCGGTTGGCAACGTCCAGTCTGACCTTCCTGACCCGGTGTGGTCATGGTGGTGGCCATCAGCTTGAACTGGGATAGTGCAAGGTTATCCTGACTCTAGCAGTAACTTCCTAGCTTTGGGAGTCAAAGTACTGGGGGGTGGGGGAGGCAGGTTTAGTGCCCATTTTCATTTGAGGGTCCCTTATCCTCGGCTCCTCCCCTCCCCAAATTCATTCACTCGCTGAGGGTCTGGGGCGGGGACAGATGGCCCTGCAGCTGCAAATAGTGCTGGAGGGGGGAGGCCGTTCTCCCGTGGGGCCGTGGGTGCAGCATATGGGACTGTTTCTATTCTGGACGACTCAGCAGCTCTCAGCTGCAACCAAATCGAAACCGCCTCCCTCCACGCTGGAGGCCTTGGGAAAATGGAAAATTACCAGCGGCCTGGACTCGGTCAGGCATCTTTGCCTCTGCAGATGCCTTTTCTTTCTTTGCTCTTTCATTTGTGGCAGCATAGAATTTGGGGAGCCACTGGAGCCAACACCACCCTGTCTCTCAGGGAAAGCACATTTTACACACACACACACACACACACACACACACCCTGATACATATTCATTTGCCAGGCAATGTGATGTACTCTGAATTAAACATGAGCATGTGCTTGGATGGGCTGCTGGCCCCTGTATGCAGAGCAGTTAAGCCCTCCAGGATTTGATTGGACAAATCTGACAGCTAGACAAGGTCAGGATGCTATGGGCACTCCGCAGAGGTGACGCGTTGTCCTGGGCACAGAAGGGGCCTTTGCCAGTGATGTCCTCTGTATGGTTAACACGCAGCACCTACCCCAAGCCCCACCCACCACCCCCAAGTCAGTTCTCCTCTTACAGGCTTTGGAGGACAGAGCAGGTCTCGTCCCTGGGGTTTCCGAGGCCATTCATCCTTTTAGGAGCAGCCAGCCTCCCCTTTCTCCCATGGAACAGCTAGTGGGTTTGAACTGATGAACTTGCAATTGCAGCCCAAAAGGTAACCCACCAGGGGCCCCAAACATAAGCTTTTTGTGTGTGTGCCCAGGTGAAATGTTTCAATAAGTGGGATACCTGCTGGATATTTTGTGTTCTCGAGACAACAATATCCGCTGCCCACTGTCTTAGGCTGGGTTGTCTAGGGAAACAAACCAGTGACTTTCGTCTATGTACAAGAAAGACCTTTATATGAATAAACAAGTGTACTGGGGCCCATTGGCGGGGTGGATGGTTGATTATTTTCAATAGGATCATCTGGAAAGGATGGTGAATACGGTGTGTGGAATTGTACTGATGAACCAAGCAAATTCGCTCTAGTTTGAAACATTTCTATTTATTTATTACTTCAGGTTGTTTTCTTTTTCTTTTTTTTTACATTGTTAGGTGAGTGGGACCTGAGACAGAGAAACCCTGAAACAAAGAGGGACTGAGCAGATGATTTTTAATATGTCCTTTTATTTCTTTAACATAGAGATCTTTATCTGTTCTTTGCCATTATTCTTGTTAGACTTGGGACTATTTGTCTGTGGGGTTTTTTGGTGTTATTCTATACATGAAATTCAGGGTAGGCAAAATTACAGAGACAGTGACTGGGGCTGATGGTTCCTGAGGAGCATGGGAGGGGGCAAAAGGGGAGAGGAGCGGGGAGCCAACAATAAGGGTACAAGAGAATAGTGTGTGTTCTAAATTTGACGGCAAAGAGTGTGCAGCTTCTCTTGATGTCTCTGAACAATTAAATTGTATCTGAGAGGAATTATTGAAATGAGAATGATGGGTAAACATCACTGTTGGGTGGGAGGAAATATATATATATATATATATACTTATATATATGCATATGTAATAAAGGCTTCTACTTAAATCTTGCCTCAGTACAATAACAATTTGTTCTAACAATGTATGATACTGGTATGATACTCACCTTCCTAACATGCTCGTTGAAGACAAAATGGGTGCAGAAGCAAATGTGGTGAACAAAGCTGATGGTGCCTGGCTATTAAAAGATATAGCATCTGGGGTCTTTAAGGCATGTAAGTAAGCAAGCAGTCATCTAGCAGGGAAGCCACAAAGTCTACATGGAAGAAGCACACCAGCTTGTTGGCAGAGGTATGAGGAGCTCAAAAGCACGCAACTGATTCAGTGTGAAGGGGCATGGATACAATAGGAAACCTAAGTTCATCTGCAAAGTAATTGTATAGTCCCTCTCAGAAGGGCCACATGAAATGGATGATAAATCCAGGGTGCAGTATGGCATTGATGAACCACATAAATATCCTCTAGTTCCTCAATATTTCCTCCCCTTACTATTAAGGTATTTATTTGTTTTACTCCATTAATCATGTTAGATTCATATATGTAAGATTGTTTGGTGCATGAAAGTTAAGACAGATAATCCTTCAGAAACAGTAATAGGAGTAATGGTTCCCTGAGGGTACAGGAAGAGGGTGGGGCAGGAGGGATGGGGAGGATGAGGAG